CCCTGCCACTCCCCTGCATGTCACCCTCCAACATCCCTTCCCTCACAGCTCCACCACATTTAAGCACAGTCCTCTTAACTGGAAAACAAGTTTTTTTTCTTTTTTTTTTTTTTTTTTTTTAATAAGGAGATGCAGAAATCTTTCTGAAGTAAAACAAAAACTTGGTTAGCTAGTCCAGCAGTGAATTTAAGAAGCACTTTGGCAAGGAGGTTTTTCTTGGTGGAGGGGTGGGAGGAAGGAGGGAACAGGTCCTTTTTGAGGGGAGAAACAGAAAAGGAAGGGGGCTGTTTTTCAGAGCAGCTCGGCAAGAACATCTCTCAAGAAAAACAAAGGCCTCCTTTCTGAAGTAAAACAAAAACTTGGTTAGCTAGTCCAGCAGTGAATTTAAGAAGCACTTTGGCAAGGAGGTTTTTCTTGGTGGAGGGGTGGGAGGAAGGAGGGAACAGGTCCTTTTTGAGGGGAGAAACAGAAAAGGAAGGGGGCTGTTTTTCAGAGCAGCTCGGCAAGAACATCTCTCAAGAAAAACAAAGGCCTCTGGGATGGGGGAGGAGCACCACACACTAAGAGCAGCAAAACCTGGCAGCATGTAAATGCTGCGGGGAGAGCCGGTTGTGCCAACACCAGGTGGATGCCCGTGAGCAGGGAAGGGACGGGACCGGGAGCTGGAGGGGCCAGAGGGCCCGTCCCGCAGCCGGCCGAGGGACGCGCAGCAGCCGCCACGCACCACTGACTCGCTGGGTTTTTCCGAGTGCTCAAACTCTCTTGCTGAACCATCCCAACCACAAAGCAAGCTGTAATCTAAAAATCAAGCCGCAACTTGCTTTAAAGTTGAACCAAAACTGTGATGACTAAGAAATACAGCCAATGTTGCTGAACTGGCTACGGCTGCCTCTTCTGTAACATGCATAAATGTAGGTTGATCATTATCATTTAAAATGGAGATTAGAATTTTTCCCTTCAGTATTTAATTCTGGCTGTTTGTGAACTGTATGTGGCACAAGTATTCATTTATGATTTTAAGTTTTCACTCTAAACAGAAACACTCAGCTACTACACCTTGGTCAATAAAAACAACAGGTGTTTTCCAGTGGAGCAAAAACTAAACCAATGTAAGGTTAAAGGCACTATGGCACACTGCTGTCTCTTACCATTATTCATCTGTCTTTGGTGGTTTCTTGAATTATACAGCATTGATATTCAGCTCAGATAAGCACGTAAACAGACAGCTATATACCTTTAAAAATAAGTAACTTTAAACAACTATAAAGACCATGCAATGGAAAAAGGAAAAAAAAAAAAAAGGCAGAAATCCAGTCCAACCAGGTATGAACCCGACTGAATACAAACCACCTAAGCTTACAATAGCTTTCTGAAGAAACAGATGAGTCCAAACTATCTTGATTGCATAGTCAGCAATTTCCTATCTATCAGAAATTACTGAACTGTCTAAGTTACTTTATGCCTCTCCTACTCAAAAACCTTCCCCTGTAAGCACAGTCTTGCAGCACTTATAAGCAAGATTTTTGTGGTCCTCTGAGAAGTTCAGTGACTGCCAGTTACTAAACAACTGAGTAACCAGTACTACTGTCCTGCCCAAGAATCAACAATAGTGGTCTATAAGCCCTGACAATGGAAATCTCACAATTGCTCAGAGAATTATCTCCTATAATTAGCAGTTTATCCAGAAAAAACTGTTCCTAAATATGACATGGACACTACACAAATTTTATTTAAAACAAATTTCAATAAGATTTACAAAACAGCTACAAAAATACAGGTTGTGCTTATGAACTGCGCAAGTCAGATGCAAATTCCAGATGAAACGGGATCTCCAGAGTTTAAAAATATCATCAATCCAGGAAGGAAGTTTAGCTCCAGTGGATACTTCATCAATGTAAACTCTGTTCAGGTCAAATTTTCTAAACAAAAAGCCACAGTAGCTCCACACTCACATTTACTGCTAGAAGAAAAGCTGGAGTGTTGTTAAGTGTTTCCTCACTTCTGGTCATTCACTTTACTATGCATTAAAGTATATTAATGAAATGTTCAATATAAAGACTTCTTAACTTATAATGTTTGTTCTTCTGAATATGTTCAGGTGACAAATAAGTGTTTAAAATCATGATGACCTCAGGTTTTGTCTTTTTAAATCACAGCATGCATCTTTCTCCATCACCTGTTTAAAACTGATGTAAGTAACTACAAAAAGCCATGTTTTGTTGTTTCTGTCTACAGGAGATTCTGATATCGACTAGGACAGTATTGATTTCAGCCCATTAGTACAAATTTAAGTTGCAAACTCTCTGTATTCTATTGCACTAGAGCATGACAGCTTTGTGGAAGGTTTTTTTTAGTTGTTCTACCAAAGTCCATAAAATATACATAATTTGTTTAGTTCTGTTTTTCTTTAGCCACAGGTGTAAGTTAAAGCTATTTGCCAAGGTATTGCACTTCAACTACAAGTCTTGTAGTCTTTTATTCCATATGCTCCATTTCATTACAAAATGGACAGACAAGATGTAGACCTTTACTCATAACCACAGAACACCTTAAATCAGAGTGAGAAGTGATAGATTTGTTTCCTTGGAACTCTCATTCTCAGACAATGCTGCACTTTGTAGCAGATAGATTTAATAATGTAATTCAGAAAGCTAGAAACTACATTTAAGTTAACACACACACCCCTCTTTGGTTTTAATCTCAAGTGTACATCTGCCTCGAGCTCAACATCAGCCATTCTACTCTCAGCACTCAAAAACTCATTCTTAAATTCGTTCCTTGTACTGAACATTTTGAAATGGTGACTTATTTTCTCTTCTCCAGCCTTTTCACATACCTATGGTTTCTGGCAGGTCCAAGAGCTCATTGTGCTGCAAGTCAAGGTTGGTGATCTGCGTGCAGCTTCCAATCTCTTCTGGAAGATGTTCAAGCTGATTGTGCGCTACATCCAGCGTGATGAGGTTACACAACTCACCTAAAAGCACACAAGAAAACCAAAACATCAAGTTCTTTAATGTACAGCTCTATATTAATGTTTGTGTGGAAGTCGTTGTCTAATCAGATAGATTTGGGGATAATGTGTAAAAAGCTTTTGCTACCATAAAATTATACATATAAAATGAGGCATTAGAAGACCATCATTTCAGCAGTCAGATCTAAAACCTGATAAATATTTTTTTTTTAACTCAAATAAAGCTTTTATTGATTCTCTGAAGAAATCTAACTTATCTATTGATTTTCTTCTGACAGTTGAAGCTGTGGAATAGGAGTACAAAATCTATACTTCACACGTTTTTCAGGCTGACTGGAAGCTTAAAACATCACAAAATAAGTGGATTCTATTGAATTTTGAGGAACTGAAATCTGTTTTTATACCACTAATTACTTTCAGGCACAAAATCAACACTGAAGAGACATCAAAATTATTTGGCTGACTAGATAACCTACCCAAAGTCCTGAATGCAATTTTTAATAAGTTTTAGTCATGCCAAAAAAAGGCAACATAGGATAAGTAAACTGTAAACCTATTTAGACAGGTTACTATATTTTACAAATTTATTATATTTTACAAATGCAAGCAGAGCTATAGCAATTAAGTCTGAAATCAAATCTTTTAAGCCTTAAAAAAAAATATTATTTGCTTAGAGTTAGAGCTACTTTACATTGAATTGCTTCATTCCTTGCATTTACAAATGAACTTAAATGGTTAGGCACAACTCTCTAAGTACAGTAGTTTCACCTATTTTAACGACAAAGAGCGTGTGTTCTGAGCAATAGCTTGTTGGGTTTAAAAAAAAAAAAGCCAAAACATCAAAACCGTGTGCATGAGTACAGGTGTAAGCATTCACATTCTTTTTCATCTGATGGATGTGAAATTAATGCAAATGATTTGAACAGCTTCAACTCTATCCAGTAACGATGAGGTCACCATATTTGTGTATAAGACTATGACTCAGAGTAACAAATTTGGAAGAGCAGCAAATTCCTTTTGAGGAGTGAATGTCTATTTTTAAGCTTCGGTGTTGTATCTTTGACACAATCCTTTAAAGATTTTCCCACAGGCCTGCAAGAGTAGCTTGGGCAAGCTGTGACGTGTAGAGTGTCTACCCATTAGATCAGCAGATAATAACACAGTAATTTAATAAATTGTAAAATATTTATGAATTCAGACTCTGTACTGAGTTGCAGGTGTCATGCAGCGAAAATATTTACTACATATCACAAAACACTTGTGAAAGGCCAGCAAAAAAAAAAAAAAGCCAAACAGCTTCATTATTCCATTTTTATTTCATTTTTCTTACATTATTAACACAGAACTGATGTTATTTCCTGCCTTTATTGACACTCTAAATTAGGATGTTTTTCTAGAAGCTATGCAGATGGAAATGTAAAGGTGGCAGTTAAGCAGCTCCTCCACCACTCTGTGTGTGTCCTCTCTTAAGTCCACATTCAGGTGTATTCAGGGCAGCAGAATAAATAGTCAGACACACTGCATCCAGCACGGCATAAACCACACTTTATGTCATTAATAAGCAGAAGAAAGCAAATTTTAAAAAATATTGAGCAAGAATTAGTGTTCTGTGGTAGGACCGCCTTTCTGTTATTCCTGAAAACAAGTGGGCTAAATGGCAATAGGAGGAAGAAAAGCTTGACGAAGACTTAAAAATCCCTCCCTTTAAATAAACAAAAAAAGCAACCCACAGATCTTTACTAAGATAACTCATGAACCTTCACACACTTCGGGGCACTAGTTTTCACTTTGATTGCTGTTTTCATTTGTTTTCATTCCAGACCTAAACCAATGATGTCAAGTTTGAAATGTGGCATAAATTTCTTTTCACCACACTGATATCTCATTTACTTGACTCTTCCCACTCTACATCTGCTGAAGTTGAAGAAAGACTTCAGTTTTTGCAGCGACATTTGCGGCACTTCATTTTTGCACCTGCTGAAAACTTTGACAACAGAAAGCTACGTGTTTGAAACAAACATCTCACTAGCTAACAAATATCTCTGAAGAGAGAAAAAAAAGAATGCCTATGTTTATTTAGCCAGCTAAGGGCAAGCTACTACCAATTTGGTTTAATTTGGATAGCCATACTCAATATTGTTATATTACAGATGCAGACATTATTTTTAAAAGCAACAGTGCTAAACATTTCATAAAAATTCTGAGTGTTAAAATAGATTGAGGACTACCTAACAGGTTTCAGACTTTAAAGCAGAAATCAAGTGAAAGTTAAAGCCCTACCATAAAATACAGTGATTTAAGAAAGGCAATTTCAAGAGATAATATTCAGCTTTTAGTTCACATCGCTCAGTGAAGAATCTTGTTGTTGGATATACTACTACTTATAGTTTGACAGTGTCTCAGGCAGGAGATGGGCAGAAGGAGAGGGAAGGTGAAGTGCTGTTAGCACTGAAATTCTTTCAGCACTTCAACTTGGATTGCTGAGACACAACAGAGAGTGTGCAAGTCAAAATGCATTCAAGGTACATTTCTGCCGTTTTTCCCTATGATGTCTGGAAGGAATTCTTACATCCAACATGCTTAACAAGGTGAAGAATGTCTAGGTGATGTGGCAGAGGCTCATATTCATATGCAAAAGCACACAGAGGACCAGCACTGAGTGGGAGAACCCAAATACTGACTATCCCAGGAGAGCCATCAGCCCCATGGCCAGTGTGAGACCCATTACACTGAGTACATTGACAGGCTCTCCTGAGCACCTCACAGACTAACAGAGGGCTGTTGCTGCACATGGGCCTTGAACACCTACTATGAAGCACAAGGAAAAGCAACTTGGGATGGTAAGAGTTGCTATGAGATCTCTAGGGAAGGGAATGGGAAGGAAGAAGTGTGTTTTAGGAAGGACAAGTGTGGGGAAAACAGAGGGATAAGGAAATAAAAGGGTCGAGCCCTTTACAAACCAGTGCTGGTCACGCCCTGTTGCCCTCAGCACCATCTGCCCTTAAACTCCATTTCTACCTACCTTGCTGAGTGAGAGGGTCTCTGTCCTGTGTGCACGGAGGTCTGAGTACTAGCCACACAGCAGTTAAAGTGGCCAACACTACTGAAAACAATCCAGTACACGATCCCAGAACCACTCTGGGTACCAGGAGCTAAAGAACAGGGGCAGCTTTTTCAATGGCTGACTGATGGTGGTGATTTACCCTGTGAATGGACACACTGTGCACTCACTGCACTGCTGCACAACAGCAGCTCTTTCAAAAATTATGCCAGAATAAACACATGGCATAAACAATCAATACAACAAATAATGATCTGCGAGAACAAAAAGGCCAAACTTGAGGCCATCTGCACAATGCTCTTCGTAGGAACTGATGTAAAGCCAGCTTGTTCCAGTGACTGAAAGTGTCCCTTTTACTGTCTGAAAAGTGGCAACTGTACTGAAGGAACTACTACTCAAAAAAAATTTTAAAAAGTGAAAATAAGTTTCACCAAGATACAACTAAAATCTAGCATTTTTTGCTTGGTCAGGCTAAGAAGCATATGTCAAAATCAAAAACAAAGTTTTCCTAAAAGAAAGATTTGCTCAGGTACAAAAAGAAAAACGGTTCGTGAGTGAGGAGCTCACAATCTTGTTTATATTAAAATAATCACCATTTGCTCTTTTCTGGTGTACTACATAAACTTTGCTGAAACACCTTCGTATCTTAATCAATGTAACAGAAATGAGCCAGCTAAAAGCATACTGTAGCTCAAAATCAGCCTTTCCCACAAAGCAGTTTACTAAAGAAAAACCCATTCCTGTTCACAAGGTAGACAACTCCAGAATCATCTCACCAAAGGACTTTTCAAAGTCCCCAAATTACTGGAGAAAGGCAAGGACTGCTTTAAGGAAATACTAATCACAGGTGAAATTAATTAACTTTTTTCACCAAAATTACTGGCCAAAATAGACACATCTTAAGCTCAGAGTAGTGAATAAAGGACTTTCTATGGACTATCTACACCTGCATTGAAGGGACAAGCAGCACCCAATTAGAAAATAAACTAGGAAGCTGCTGGAGTTTTGGTTGGGTGTTTTTTTTTTTTTTTTAATACTATACTGCCTTGTTATTGCAAGGGGAAAAAAAAAAGCAATTGAAGTTCAAAATCTGCCAAGTAAGCAGACAGAAACTGCATGTACTAGCTAGCTTGACAATAAAAGATTTTGAAGTCCAAGTAATACCCATATGAAATACATAAAGTAGTTTCTCTATAAATAATCTTCACAAAACAGTTACACCCTATAATGTAGTCTTTCAAAACATATTTTACAAGGTTCTACAAGATAAAAAAATTCAGAAAACTCAAATGCATTTTTCAGATTAAAATAGTTTGTGAAGACTCCCAACCACCTTTCCGTTAAAAACACTGTTCAAAATACAGCAAAGTATACTTCTCAACAGTCCTTACATAAGGTGGGGTGAGCAATCACCTCACTGTTGTTCTCATATGCTCAGAGACTAAATGTTATAGTATGACAAAGCTAAATATACCTGCTGAAAAACCACAGCATTATGAAACAACTAGTATTTTTTGCCTAATGCGGCAGAATTATAGTCCCATTACATAGCCAACCTTGAAAGCCTGTTACAACAAGAGGACCAAGCTACGTGCCCTGAATTACATAACTCTGAAAATTCCTGGCTATTTAAAAAACAGAATACGGCTTCATTTTAAAAAAAAAAAAAAAACAAAAAAAACACACACAAATTAACAGTCGTGCAGGGAGAGAGTATAATCAGTAGCAAAGAGGCTTCAGTGTCTCCCACCACTAATTCACCCAGCGGGCAACAGTGCTGGACAGCAAACAGTTGCAACGTAGTCCTTCTTCCACTGGATTAACTCCATGCCTGCCCATGCTTAAGCAGATTGAAAATTATGAAATCCATGACATGATAAATCCTGGGCCAGATGACACACCAAGAGGATCAAGACTCTTATGGGAAGTACAAGGAAGAGGA